GCAGCAGTAGCTGTTGCCTTGGGTATCGGTAGGAATGACACCAAGGGGCACAGGATCCTCTGCACAAGCAGGGGCTATTAGATCCTGTCCCCTGCTTTTTATCCTTCCGCGGAGAGTTACATCTCTCCGCGCCTTCTAGAAGGAACCAAGCTCTTCTATGTTCCGTCTACACATCTGAATCCTATAACACTAGCCCACCCTGGAGGTTCTCATACGCAGATACTGTAAAACCTCGGAGTCTTGACAAGCAATTGTCGAGTCTCTAAATGAAAGTATCGAGGATGTGGAGCTCCAAAACAGCACAATTCACCCTCCCACACCTCTCACTCGATGAGTCGCAAGACCATCGGTTGACTTCTAAAACGACAAAAAGACACAGACAGGAAGGAACTGACGGGGCTAAGAAAAGCCTACGACGACCGGAAGAAGGTCGGAACCAAAGAAAGGAAAACACAAAGAAGGAAGAAAAACAGAAAAGAAAAACAAAGGTCGTCAAAACGACAAAAAAGAAAGGATCACTGTAGGAACCACAACAAGACCGGTATCGTAAGAAAACGATCAGATACGCCATTCACGCAGTCGCCACGGCAGTGTAGAAGGGGCAACAATGGGCGCGAAACACCTACACCAAACGCTAAAGGCACAAAATAAAGCGAGGAGAAAGCGAAAACCAACCAAGGCTAAAAAGCAACCCAAACAACGCTGAAAACAACAGAAAGCCAAGACAACTAGCACGTCGTCTTAATGGGGGCGCGCCACGTTATCAGGCAACGAATCAGCCCCGGGGTCACCACGCGACATGTCGACGTTGCGAAGGATCCCCTTAAAAAGGGCACTGCCGCTGTGAACTTGAAGGCACCAGGATCCGGAGACGGCGGTTTCAGCGGTGGAGTAGCGAACATCAGGAAGGGCGAGCTTGACAGGGCCAGGATCGTCCAAGAAGCGGACGACGTAGAAGTCGGACGGTAGAGGCGGTCCAGTAATCTTGCCCAACCACCAGAATCCATCGCGAGCTTTGTACCAGAAGAAGGCGCCTGCAGGTAGCGGAGTATTGGCGAAGCGACGGTCCCAAGTTGAACGAGAGACGAGCGAATAACCCGAAGGCAAAGCTTGCTCCCCTTTAGCACGCGCCATCTCGCGGGTGGCCGCACCAATACGCATCGCCCGATAGCGACGATTCGTTTGGCGATGTTGATCAGGCGAACCCGTCCAGTACCGGAGAATGTGGGGCTTGGAATGCTGGAGGTCCATCTCACGTTCCCAAGAAGGACGAAGAAGACCTTTCCAATGCGTTTGGTATAAAACAGCGATGGTGCCACCACGGCCACGAACAGACTGATGGCCACTAATGCGGTCAACCTCGAGACGTTCGACCGGAGTCGACACGTCGTCTTCCGTAACATGGTAGGGAGGAGATTTATTCGCATAGGAGTTGAGCACATACGGTGTAAGGCCGGCAGGCAGGAACCGAGGCAAGTCTTCAGTGTCACGCGGATTAGCGCAAGGCTTGCAACGCGCAACCGACACACGGTTTTTCGAGTCCGGACCCGGCAGATCCGATGGAAGATCCAAATACAGTAACTTGGAAGCCAGAGGACAACCGTCGGGAGCGTCAGGACACGGACCCACGGCCAAGATCTTGAACGGACCAGTCCACAGGAAAGACAACTTAGCCTTGAGGACCTTGTCATCCGTGCCTGAACGAACACCTTGGCGAATGGTAGATTCGGTGTTGTACACCCAAACCCATCCACCGACGGTGTATGAGGGGACCTTGCGCAAAGCATCCGATAGGGCGGAGTTACGCCGCTCAATCCTCGAAACGGACAGGTTGTGCTGTTCGCGAACTAAATCGTAAGAACGACGTTGGCGATCAGCAGCAAGATCGCAATACTCAAGTTGATCGCGATGCAAGCTTTGGTGGCCTCGAGCATATGGATGCTCAAAAACCGTCATCGGCATGCGTGGCAGTCGGTTCATATGCACCTCGTTGGGGCGCCAAACCAGTAGCGGCACTAACCGAATTGTTGTAGGCAAACTCAACGTGCCGCAGATGAATGTCCCCATCATCTTGCCTCTCATTGACGACCATAGCCAACATCTGAGCCATAGTGTGATTTACGCGCTCCACACCCCCATTGCCGTTGGGATGGTAAGAGCTGGTAGCCACTTTGCGGATAGCCAGACGGGCGTATACAGCCTGCGACAGTTTAGAACAAAACTGAGAGCCATTATCAGACAAGAGACTCAAAGGGCAACCCCATAAAGGGATGTGCCGATTGGCAAGTACGTCAGCGGTGCCTTCGGCGGTAAATTCTGCAGCCGTAACCGCGTACATGTCAGCAC